GCTCTGCGGAACTTCCAGTTAATGGTTTTCTGTGGCAAAATGTCTTTGTTAAAGTCTGGCCCGTCACCAAATCTTCAACCAAAAAGGTCCACAAAGGATAAACATTCTAACATGAAGAATTTATCCACAACTATCAAGAGAAGAAAGACCAAAACCTAAAGGAGAACCACCACGACGCATTAGTGACACACTGAACAAAACTCATGTTATGGTCATGAATAATGTAAGTAATAACTAATTAATTAATAAGTAAAAAAAAAAAGAAAAATGGTGGGATGGTAGAGGCTCTGATTTGAGGTATATTTATTAATTATCACACCAACACGTTTCAACAACTTAGTCCTCATCAGGGCTGAACAGAACTTGATGAGCCCTGATGAAGACAAAGTCAAAATGTGTTGCTGTGACAATTAATAAATACAAGAATTCAAGCTCTGGTCTGATGAGCACCTGTAGGCGTAAGTTTTGATCCAGTGCAGCTCTCCAATATTGTTCTTTTTATTATTAATAAGTAACTTGTTTACTCAGACTGATTGTAGGATTAAAATATAAAATTGATTTTAGATAGACAGACAGATGTTCATCTCTAGCATTTAAAATGCACAGATTTATCAAAAATCTAAAGTCTTGGCCACATCAGAGAAATGGTCACATTTTTATACAGCACTTTTCCACCTTTAAGACACTTAAAGCACTTTACAACAACAAACCACTCACACATTTATACGTCAGTGCACACAGACAGTTTGTTAAGTGTCTTGCCCAAGGACACAACAACACCATTCATCTGTGAAAGACACAGCAAAGGGTCAGTGGATCTGACCGCTCATCCGATCATGTTTTTATGTCGAGAGCGGGATTCAAACCAACAACCTTCAGCTCATTGCACAAACGCTCGACCAACTGAGACACGGCCAACTGTAAAATGTGACCATCACAGCGTTCAGCTCCAGTCAAATAAAGCTCAGTGAAGCTGGCAGTTAAAGCAGGCATGTCCAAACTATGGCCTGTGGGCCAAATGCGGCCCTCAGACAAAACTTTCTTGACCCTCAGACTTCCAGGTAAATTGGTCCAAATGACCTTGCATCAATTAAAACTTCACTTTTTATGGCAAGCATTTTGAAAATCTACTTTGATAAAGCCAATATTGAATATTTAGTTTAGTTTTAAGGATCTTAGCATGAATAAAGTCTGATGGTTCATTCTAACGTGTTAAACATGCACATATTTCAATTATTCTCTGTTTTGAGCTCCAGTCTATGGCCCTCGATCGACCCTCTGCTTCATCTGTGTTTAGATTTGTGGCTCTGGATGAAAAAAGTTTGGACACCTCTTAGTTAAAGGGTGAATTTGGAGCGGAGTTCCACGTTAGGAATATGGACAGATTTACAGACAAAATAGCAAAATAGTGGTTTATTTCAATTCATTAAGTCAAATTGTAAGAACTGACAAACTGAACTGAAATTGTTTTGTTTTTTTTTGAGTGAGATTCTCCAGAGGAAGAAGAATAAACCTGGACTTTACAGACTCATGTTCTGCTCCTGTAGAAAAAAAAACAAAAACAGATGTGGCGCTTTCATTTACATTTCCGATAAAAGTCACTATACACTACTTTTGAATTCATTAACTGGTTTTGCGTATAACATGACATTAATCATGATTAATCACAGGAACTCATGAGATAAATGCGATTAAGAGTTTTTATTTTTGTCGAACCCTGATTTAAAATTAATAAAAACTGAATCGAACCAGCCTCAGCCACGGCGTCTTGAGTGAGCGGAACAGTCTCGTCTTGTGGCTTATATACGCGCTGTAAATATCATGACCACACACACACGCACACACACACACACACACATATATATATTACACACACACACACACACACATTTCCTATATGAAGAAAGCAGGCTGGAATTCAGGAAGTGGTCCATTCTCCCCGGAGCCCATTACAGAGGCCGAGGAACAGAGGCGAGGGCGGGGTGTACAGACGACGGCGGCGGCGGTCGGGGGGCGGCGGGGGAGGGGGGCATGGGGGGCATGGGGGGGGTTCTTATGTCTCATGTTTTGTGTTTAAACAGTGTAGGTTAATGCTGCGGTGAACATGACTCAAGGATTTCCCAGACACCCGCTGGGCGCAAGGAAACTGGGTCAAAGGACAGAATCTAAAGCTGAAGAAGTTCGTTATAGTTGGATTTAAAGCAGGACTATGTCACTTTTCTGCTTGTTTATCTGATATGTTATTGCGTGGCCCGGAATGTTCCACAGTAGAGCATTAACCTTGTCCAATATCTCCTCCTGAAAAGTTCAATGTTTATCTTTAAATCGAACCGTATTGAAAGGTGCCTTGTGCTTTTCTCTGCGTAGATGTTGTTGCTTTGTCTGGAATGTTCCACGGTATGGCATTACGTCTTTCTAAACCTTTGCATGGAGACCAAACCGGACCACGTTACAAGTCAGATCTGCAGAGAGGCGACCCCGCTCACAGTCAGAATGTTGTTTTTTGAGGTATTTTTGAGCTATAAATCCACCTGTGATTGAATAAAAGTAGTAGAGATGTTTAATGTCACACTGTGGAACATTCCAGAGCAATGGTGTATCCATAGAAACAAGCAGGTGACAAGCAGCACCCTCCATCAGAAAAGTTACACAATGCACCTTTAAGCTTTCGTTCCTTTTAAGAGTTCATGGTCATTTTCACAATTTTTACTAACACATCTACTCATTTACAGCTTCTGGTTGTAGCTCCGTCTGTTGAACTTCACAAAGTGTGAACCAGAGTCCTGCACGAGTCCGTTTTTGGAGACCCGCACCCGCCCGCACCCGCGCAGTCCAGCACAGCACCCGCCCTTTCACCCGTGATTATATCAAAGTTAAACCCGCATCCACCCGGACCCGTTAACTTTCCACCCGTTACCCGCCCGTGCCCGAGATAAAACACACACAAAAACATTCTGAGTGAAGCATCCAACTGAAAAATTATGACTTTAAGAATTACAATCACAAAATTAAATTTAATGGTTACACTTTCTTCAGTACGAACGCGAATTCACAGGCGCGACTTGACTGTCAAAAATACGTCATCACTTCACAGGATTTATTTATTGAGCAGAAGAAACACGCCACGGACTGAACCCCGACTAAACCCTGACTAACCCAGGACAAACTCAGGACTGATTCCAGGACTGAACCAGGACTGAACCAGTACTGAACCAGGACTCACTGTCGGGCTCAGAGGTGCACCCTTGTAGACCATTGGGTGACTGCAGGCTAAAGCACCAGCGCAGAAGTTTAGTCCTGGTCTAGTCCTGATTTAGTCCTGACCCACCCGCATACCTGCCCGAAAAATTCAAGAATGTTAAAACCCGACCGTTTCAGGAACTATTTGCCCGTATTTGTTGACCTGGTGCAAAACTCTGGTGTGAAGTGTGCCCATTCAGGCGTCAGTGTGGTAAGAATCTGGAGTTGACGCAGCACATCTTGCACATTCAAGCGACGATGCTCTGGTCGCGCATCCAGGGAGTTGGTGTCAGAAGTTGAAAAAACAGAATTTTTGGCATTGGATGTGCCACATTAACCAATCTGGGACAACTATCCAGTGACATAGCGACGTTATTATCCGGAAGAAAGTGAAGAAAAAGAAAGACCCGGCAGCCAGGAACACCAGAACAAGCCATGGAGTAAAAATATATACACGCACCAGTCGCCAAGCCGTTCGCCTCTACTGATGGTTTTATGTAATAAAAACACTAAAGTCTCGACTGGAAAAACAAGGCACTCACAGATGCACGTCAAGTATTTTTCTCCCTTTCATCCACGGCATCCAAGACACGCGTCAGGGGCGTCGGAACTCAAATGCTAAGGCGTCTAACTAGAGGCGTCCAGTGTGTTTTTTAACGCAGTGGTCTGACCGCAACTTGAGTCCTCCATTTCTGTTCAAAGATGGACCGTCTTTCCCAACTAGAATAGCCTCTTTAAAGGTTGTATAGAGGATTTTTTAAGGGAAGTGAAATACAGCGACTGTCCTTTTTCAAATGTTGTGCATATGTGACACCACCTTCCTCCTCCACAGCTCTACAAGTAGAAACACCTCCTCCCACCTCTTTACTCTAGAAATCACACATGTTTACATCCAGTGCGCGTTCAGAATTACTGTTGAAGTGACCTGTCTAGAAATAATTTAACGACCGATGCGTCAGTTTTTAGACCCTTCGTCCGCTTCATTCGCGCCATCGCTGGAAGGAATCTCCAAGAATCACCTCAGTTTGTCTTCGCTCCTTTTCCCCTTCTCTTCTTCTTTCAGCGACCTCAAAAACCGACTTTCTTTTGTGGCGAAATGGTCGTGGATTCTCGTCCGCCATCTCAATAAACTTTGTGCGAATTGCGAGGAAGCGACAGTTTGAAAAAGCCTCTAAGAACCGCTGCATAAACCACATAATCCCCGCGCGTTGACGAGTCAGTTACACTAGAAACGTAGGGAGTTTGATTGACAACCTAACAGCCAACAGAAAATGAGGCAGCCTCGTTTTCTATTGGCTGATGTTTATCTGGCCTCAACACGTCCACAGTTGATGGATTTTCATAGTTTTTTTTTTTTGGTCATCATAATTACAAAGCTGCTGCGTCTCTGTAATGGTATTTTAAACTTTCATTGACAATTTGAAACTGAAAAAAAATCCTCCATACAACCTTTAACTCCTCTCTCAGGGGATTTCTTTTCTCTGGCTCAGATTTGTACCTCACTGTCCTCAAAAGTGTGGTTAGTGGTTTTGAGATGGATGTGAACAGCAGACTGAGGTCCTGTGTTGGTACATCCTCTTATGAAGCGGCTGTTTTGTTTCTCCAATATAACGAATGAATATAAACTATTTTTGTTATTGAACCTTCCTAGACTCCCCTCTCACCTGTGTGTGTGTCTTTGTGTGTGTGTTTGTGCGTTCGTGTGTGCGTTTGTGTGTGTGTATGTGTCTGTTTGTGTGTGTGTGTGTGTACTTCCTCAGGAGCGTCTGTTCTTCGTGATGGAGTACGTGAACGGAGGAGACCTGATGTTCCAGATCCAGAGGTCCAGGAAGTTTGACGAGGCCCGTTCCAAGTTCTACTCTGCGGAAGTGACGTCTGCGCTGATGTTCCTCCACCGCCACGGAGTCATCTACAGGTACGTCTACATCGAGTCATCTACAGGTACACCTGCACCTGCACCGAGTCATCTACAGGTACATCTACACCGAGTCATCTACAGTACATCACAGTCATCTACAGGTACATCTACACCGAGTCATCTACAGGTACAGCTGCATCGAGTCATCTACAGGTACACCTGCACCTGCACCGAGTCATCTACAGGTACATCTACATCGAGTCATCTACAGGTACATCTACACCGAGTCATCTACAGGTACACCTACACCGAGTCATCTACAGGTACATCTACACCAAGGTCATCTACAGCTATATCTGCATCGAGTCATCTACAGGTACAGCTGCATCGAGTCATCTACAGGTACATCTGCACCAAGTCATCTACAGCATCATACATCGAGTCATCACAGGTACATCTACAGTCATCTACAGGTACATCTACACCGAGTCATCTACAGGTATATCTACACCGAGTCATCTACAGGTACATCTACACCAAGTCATCTACAGCTATATCTGCATCGAGTCATCTACAGGTACACCTACGAGTCATCTACAGGTACATCTGCACCGAGTCATCTACAGGTCACACAGGTACATCTACACCAGCACCGAGTCATCTACAGGTACATCTACACCGAGTCATCTACAGGTACACCTACACCAAGTCATCTACAGCTATATCTGCATCGAGTCATCTACAGGTACATCTACACCAAGTCATCTACAGCTATATCTGCATCAAGTCATCTACAGGTACGTCTACATCGAGTCATCTACAGGTACACCTACACTGAGTCATCTACAGGTACATCTGCACCGAGTCATTTACAGGTACACCAGCACCGTGTCATCTACAGGTACATCTACACCAGCACCGAGTCATCTACAGGTACATCTACACCGAGTCATCTACAGGTACACCTACACCAAGTCATCTACAGCTATATCTGCATCGAGTCATCTACAGGTACATCTGCACCGAGTCATATACAGGTACATCTACACCAGCACCGAGTCATCTACAGGTACATCTACACCGAGTCATCTACAGGTACACCTACACCAAGTCATCTACAGCTATATCTGCATCGACTCATCTACAGGTACATCTGCACCGAGTCATATACAGGTACATCTACACCAGCACCGAGTCATCTACAGGTACATCTACACCGAGTCATCTACAGGTACACCTACACCAAGTCATCTACAGCTATATCTGCATCGAGTCATCTACAGGTACATCTGCACCGAGTCATATACAGGTACATCTACACCGAGTCATCTACAGGTACATCTGCACCGAGTCATCTACAGGTACATCTGCACCGAGTCATCTACAGGTACATCTACACCGAGTCATCTACAGGTACACCTACACCGAGTCATCTACAGGTATATCTACACCGAGTCATCTACAGTACAGCTGCATCGAGTCATCTACAGATACACCTACACCAAGTCATGGACACGTACACCTACACCGAGTCATCTACAGTACAGCTCCATCGAGTCATCTACAGATACACCTACACCAAGTCATGGACAGGTTCATCTACACCGAGTCATCTACAGGTACATCTACACCGAGTCATCTACAGGTACATCTACACCGAGTCATCTACAGGTACATCTGCAACGAGTCATCTACAGGTACATCTACACCGAGTCATCTACAGGTACATCTGCAACGAGTCATCTACAGTACAGCTGCATCGAGTCATCTACAGGATCACCGCCACTGAGAATACATGATATTTTGAAAATTATATTTAGCAGAAAAAACTACATTTGACTGAAACAGGCCAAACTCTGTGCATCATCTCTGTTTGACTGAACACGCTGCTTATTTGGTTTAGAGCTTCCAGCCGAGCCGAGTGTCTCTGTACGTTTCACTCTATCCTCTGGAGCAGGAAAAACAAACCACGTCGAACTCCCTCATCATCAAGAAATGTTCAGTTTTTGTCCAGAAACTCTTCACACATACGTCACACGAGTTATATAATCAACTGGAATTCTATCACTGTGAACAAGCTTATCTTCCAGTAACTATAACGTCAGGATGTTAAGTTCTGCTCTCAAACTGAAAACACTGTTCCACCTTGTGATGTCACGTGGTGATACATACGGAAGCCGAGAGGGGTCACAACAAACGCAAACGCCGCAACAAATACAAATGCGACAACACAACAAAAAGCAACAACACACCAAAAAAAGCCACAACGGAAATGACCACGGAACTCTATTTTAATGCAGACGGCGTGACAAATACAAACACCACAACACAAACGCAAATGCCGCAACACATTAAAAAGCCGCAACACATTAAAAAGCCACAACACATTAAAAAGCCACAACGGAAGTGACCGCGGGACTTTATTTTCCGCCGGACCGATCAAGCGACAAGTGAAGAAGAAGAACTACAACGTGAAAAGTAAAGGAACGGAGAAGTTGGAAACGTAAGTTAAAGTAATTTATTGTTTTATCGTTATTCGTTTCACGTTGTAGTTCTTCTTCTTCACTTGCCGCTTGATCGGTCCGTCGGAAAATAGAGTCCCATGGTCACTTCCGTTGTGGCTTTTTGATGTATTGTGGCTTTTTAGTGTGTTGTGGCATTTGTATTTGTTGCGGCATTTGCATTAAAATAGAGTCCCGCGGTCATTTCCGTTGTGGCTTTTTAATGTGTTGTGGCTTTTTAATGTGTTGCGGCATTTGCGTTTGTGTTGTGGCGTTTGTATTTGTTGCGGCATTTGCATTAAAATAGAGTCCCACGGTCACTTCCGTTGTGGCTTTTTAATGTGTTGTGGCTTTTTGATGTGTTGTGGCTTTTTGATGTGTTGTGGCTTTTCAATGTGTTGCGGCATTTGCGTTTGTGTTGTGGCGTTTGTATTTGTTGCGGCATTTGCATTAAAATAGAGTCCCGCGGTCATTTCCGTTGTGGCTTTTTAATGTGTTGTGGCTTTTTAATGTGTTGTGGCTTTTTAATGTGTTGCGGCTTTTTAATGTGTTGCGGCATTTGCGTTTGTGTTGTTACGTTTGTATTTGTTGCAGCGTTTGTATTAAAATAGAGTCCCGCGGTCATTTCCGTTGTGGCTTTTTTTTGGAGTGTTGTGGCTTTTTGTTGTGTGGTCGCATTTGTATTTGTTGCGGCGTTTGCGTTTGTTGTGACCCCTCTCGGCTTCCGCAGATACAGGAAGTGCTCCACTGTGTTTTTAAACTCAACACACCTTCACTAGAATCATTTGGAGGATTTCAGCTCGGGAATTGCCGATCTCTACTGAAACTAAAGGTAAAAGAAGGAGATGTTAACGTGAAAACTGCAGCTTCATGACATCACAAGGTGAAAAGACTGATAATAAAGTTACTCAAACATGTGTGAATGAAACAAAACCCAACTCCAGGTCTGTTTTTGAGGAGGGAACAGTATTAGAACATGACTAAAAGCTCACAAGAATCAATTTTGCGTGATAAAAGGTCACTTTTTTTTTTTTTTGCAGCGTTTTTCCAACAACAAACCACTCACCCATTCACACACACAAACTATCACTCCAGTGTACGCAGACACTACACAGCAAAAACTGGAGGGTTAAAATTTTAGGGTAAAATATTTCAGAGTTGTTTTTACCACCAAAAGTGTAATTTTAAATATTTGAAAGTTAAATGGGGTTTTGAGTTGGGGTTATTTGTCAGAGTTGATGTGGTTGAGGTTATTTCAACTTGTCTTAGTGTTAATTCAACTTCTCTTAGTGTTAATTTGGCTCCTCCCATTCACCACTTCAAACTCTTGTGAGAGAAGACCAGTTTGAACCAGTTTTGTACATAATTTCATCTTAAATTAACTAAAAAAAAGTGAAAATAAAATAAAACGCCCCTGTGTGTTGTTTAGCTAAATCAGGATAACTCTACAAAGTGTTACCTGTTTACTCTCAAAACATTAATATAACTCTGGATTTCGCAGTTAAACAGGAATTTTGGTCCAGTGTTACTTAATGAACATTTCCAAAAATATTAAATTAACTCTAGGAACAGATTGGACTCAAATAAACTCTGAGAAAATGTTAAAGTTGATTCTGTGAGAGTCGATATTAACACTCCACTTTTTGCTGTGTAGGGGTGAGGTGGGTTAAGTGTCTTGTCCAATGACACAACGACAGTATTCGACCCAAAACATGAAAGGAAGAACAGCTAATTACTGAGGTCAGTTAAACACAATCAATCAATCAATGAATCTGCCCAGAGACGACAGGCGGAAATTAGCTCTGGTGCTACAACCTGATGTACAATGATCTCTGCTGTTAACGTGAATGTAAATAAGGAGAGTCAAACTCAAATTCACAGAGGCCAAAATTAAAAAACTGGGACTAAGTCGTGGGCCAAACTAAATATTTATTGAAAATTTTCAATGACATCATCATGTTTTCTCTTCTTTCGAGATATGTAGTGTTAAACCTTTTCTTGTTTAAATAAATGTTTAATAATAGTTTTGCTTAAACACTGAATCCAGAACAAACAGAATATAAAATAATAACATTTTAAATAAATAATGTCTCTATAGTTTATCTGTAGCTGGTGGGCAGCTCTAAAACATATTTGATATGATCTCACGGGCCAAATATAATTATACCACGGGTCAGATTTGGCCCCCAGGCCTGAGTTTGACATGTCTGATGTAGATGTGTGCACTGTCCCTGTCTCATTACTCACTAACACAACTAACTAAACGAGAGAGCAGCAGTGGACCTCAGTCTGCTGTACATCTCCACTTAAAAGCCACGAGCCGCTCATTTGAGGACAGTGAGGTACAGATCTGAGCCAGAGAACAGAACTGGTTTGAGAGGAGAGTGAAAGAAGCCATTTTTATTATGAAAGAGAATCCTTCTCTAAACAGAAATGGAGACTCAGACACCATCTATCTCCTATTTACAACTCCATCCTCAAACCTAAATCAAAACAAACAAGAGAACAACAGGTGTATCCAGGTCAGGTCCAGAGGTGTGGAAGCTCCATTATGAC